TGTTCTGAAAGCTTTAAATCTGGCAGCTACCGAATTTCAAGCTTATATTGTTTCTGCATGAAGGCCATTTGAAGGTGAAATGAGAATAAACTTGATTTTATTAAAATTTATATTAAATTGACTAGAATGTGTGTCTCAGGGAGTGGTGCTGCACTTTGCACACAATACTCGAGATCTGATGGGAGAAAAGGAATAGATTGATTAGAATGAAATTTTTAAGACCATTAAATAAATCCCAAGTTTGATGATTTACAGCTCAAGAAAAACCGTGGTGTACACTTATAGTTTTCAGATTAGCTTTAGATACAGCCGGAGTCCTCTTGTAAACAAATCAATGTATTACATTATTATTCACAGATCTGTTTTGTACCTGCTTTTCATTTTGTGTCAAGTTATCTGATAGGAGGCAGCGGTAGGAATACCCTTGGGCCAGTCACTTTATCTCTGTGTGCTTATGTTTATCTTCTGAGTTATGTTTTGACGAGGTTTTTCTGTCCTTTGTGAGTACTGTGAGCTCCAGAGAGCAATACCAGCAGCAGCTGTGCGCAGAAGTGGTGCTGTGCAGACTATAGTCTGCAGTGCAGTAGCTGAGTGTTATGGGTATTTTTTAATAAACATTGTTCAGTTTCTTTAATGCTTCCAAGAGGTGTCAGTTTTACAAATTGTATTTTGACTGTAAAGGATAACATTACCATCCATGAGTGGGGAACAGGCAGTTGTCTTGTAAATGCAAACTAGCAAAAATATTCAATATTCTCTGAATAGCAAGGTCTTGGTTCCACATTTGTTCTGGTTACAAAAGGACTTGACATTAACCTAAATGCTTTAAAATTATGGGATCGTAGAGTATGTGAGCATTTACCAGCACATCTTCAGCTGTAAAATAACAGCTGCTTTTGATGGTTACATTTTGTCTTGTGTCCATCCCTCATAATCTGAAAAATTCATGTGAGTTTGTTATTGTATTCTGCTTCTCTTTCTCCTCCTCTATTGCTTCCATAAATCTATCTGAACTGAGAGGGAAAGCCTGCAATATTTTTTTGTGCAGAATTTACAGACAAGCAATCAGAATGTGCAAAGACTGGACAACATGAAAGTAAATGTGTCTATTAGAACTGGACTGCTTTGAAAAAAAATTAATAATTCATTTCAGTGCTCCTGTGAGAGAGCATAAGTATCATTTAAGCATCACCCTAAAGGGTAGGAGAGGAAGATCTGGGGTTTTTTCATTATTGCTGCCAAATACAATTCACACTCCTATTTCAACACAGAATTATTTTGAAAATTAAAATTAAATTAACCTTGATAATTATTTGGAAAAAAAAAAACCCTGAAAACTGGAAATTAATTTTCTGAAAATATCAACAGATATATATGGGAGTATATATTACACTGATATATACTAATATTGTTAATATTAGTATTTTTAATTTTGAAAATGAAATTCACAAGCAAGCATGATTTCTTTCCCTTCTGGCAAATCAGTTCTGAAATGCTGAATGCAATCTAAAATGCTACATTTATGTGACTTGAAATGAATTTTTTCTTCCTGTATAAAAAATGTCTGCATGAGTGAAGGCATTTACACATTGTGTAAAGAGATACTGCTTGTATGGTACATATAGATAGCTGCTGTATGGACATATACACATATATACACATATGCCCACACAAATGTGTTGGTTTTGTATAAAAGTCATCTGTGATTTTAAATTAGTTCACCATGAAATGACGTTAATAAAACCTGAGATGCTCACAAGTTCCCAAGAAATAGTCTGTGCCTTGGAGGCTAAAGTTCACTCTGAATTAGTCAACAAATAAGAAATCACCTGTACCGATATAATTACAGCATCAAATGTGCTGCGGCCAAAATCTAAAGTCCTTCAGCTGCTTGTCTGGACTTTGCATTAAGTTTCTTTTTCAGCAAATGTTTGTTTGTGGTATTTCATTATTTACCTGTCAGTCTAGGGCATTAAAAGTGGTGGACATCAGTGACCTGATAGGAAATCTCTCTCTGACATCTGTTCTTACATTTATGCCGTGGAGAAAAGCACAGGTTGGCTTGTAGGAATTACAAAATATGTACATTAAAAGGATTCTTCTGTGTCCTGAAGTATTTATGGTGCTTCTCACTGTTTTATGTCTGAAAGAAATAACAAAATTTAACAAGATAGTAATGGTTTTGGCGGGTTTTCATGTTAATTCTGTGTAGCCAATGAAAAATTCATAAAGCTCACAAGAAAAATATTAAGGGTCAGTAGTTCAGGCTACAGTATATATATAGGTACATAATGCAATGTGCATTTCAAAATCTGACAAAATCTGACAGTTTAGTTTTCTATGAATGCTTTATTCTCGATTTTACAAGGTCAAATAAAATAATACCTGTCTGAAAAATAAGGAGCATTCTCTAACAGTATTGTTTCTACAAGTAACAATCTTTTGTCAAAGTTTTTAAGAATATATCTTTGAAATATTTTTGTTTGAATGAACTGTTTCAGTAGCAGAAGCATTTCAGTATATTTTATGTATTCTATTACCTATAGAATTAGTCAAGATTTATTTGGAAACTAGACTTGTCCTAAAGAATGCATTTATATTGCAAAGTTTTCTTTTCTAACCCATGAAGCCTGAAAGCCCATGAAAAAATGAAGTAAAATTAGGGATGAAATAAATATTTAGTGAATGTATGCAAGTTGGAAAGATTTCTACATTAGGCTTACTGTGCCTGACAAGGTTTGTTTCTGGCATTTTTTTGTTTTCACCTACTTATGTTGTTTAAATAGTACTTGTTTTTTTTTTTACTATTGTATTTAATACATAAATTTTATTTCTCAGTTTTCTTCTCTTTCCCCTCATTTAAGATTCAAGAGGCTTATTTTATTAGAGACCCTCATACTTTCCTCCTTACAAAGGACTTTATTAAGGTATATATGTTCTTTTTAGTGCAAAAAACCCAAAACCTCTCTCAAGCCCTGAACTGCATGTCCTCACAGGTTAACATTTTCACATATAACGCCAGTTGCTGGAGATGAGAATGGTTAGTTGGTTAACTGAAGCATGCTTGAAAGGAGAAGCAAAGCTTGTCTACAAAATACTAACACTTGGATGAGTCTGCAGCCTGGGAGGAGAGCACCGGGTGAATTTTCTGGACTTTTTTCATGGCTGACTTGGGATATGCCTGCATTGTCACACAGTGTGTTGACCTCTCTCGTTGACGCATATTGCTCCTGACAGTCCCTCTCCTCTGCCCGCAGGCCATGGAGGCGCAGATACAGAACTTTGGACAGACGCCATCGCAGTTGCTCATTGAGCCCCATCCACCTCGGAGCTCTGCCATGCACCTGGTGAGACATGACTGCTGGCTGGGAATGCATTCCATTTGAACCTTAGGGTCCCTTGTAGGTCATAAAGTACTCATTAAAGCAACACTTTTGATGCCCCCCATTGCCCATGCAGCCATTCTTGCTTTGGGTACCAACAAATTACAGGCATATAGCAGAACAAGGTGGAGGTGTGACTGGCTTCATTCAGTCCTGGATTTTCCTTACTAATATGGTATAAGAAGGCTCCATCTTAAAAATTATAAACTTGATAAATACATATTTTCATTCTTGTTTTCGCAAGTGGTGGGAATGACTGCAGGCTTTCCTTAATGTGAGTATGTTGTTTTGTTTTAAAGGATGCATTGTTAGGGGCTGATTTATGAACAATGTCTGCTTGACATTGTTCATAAATGAAGTATTGGAGTTCAAATCCTGCTGGAATCCTCCTGCCCATTCCCACAGGAGAATGAAATGTATATTTTGAGTTTCAATTCAAACTCCAAAATTAATTTCCATCACATTCTTCTCTATCCTTCCTGGAAAGAATCGTATGAAACAGCCAGACTGAACAAGACAGATTTCTATGCCTTGAGTGCCTTTGATGAAATGCTTAGAGCTAGATTTTTTTTAAGCTTTGTAAATCAACAGTAATACATGCAGTAGTTTCAATTATTTTTTCTATCTATAAGGAAATCTCCCTATTTAGCTATACACTGTGAAAGTGCAAATTGATCTGGAAGTGGTTTTTGTCTTATTTTAAGTGTGTACAAGTCCAACTTAGGTAATATTTATTTTACATTCTTAAGATACGGATAATATATTTTTAGTAACTATAGGTGATAAGCAGAAAGGAATATTTGACCTTTTAGAAATAGTTCATTTTGTTCTAACAGTGGCTTAAAAAAACCCCTTAAAACCAGTACTCAATAGCTATCCTTGTCCATGTACAAACAATTGTGTTGTTTCCAGAATCATGAAACAGGCTTAGGTTATTATAAACTTATTAGGTTACAGACTCCCTAATAAGCATATGCTTTACTTAGAATTAGATTGTCTGTGTTTGGAAGCTCTGTATTTCATGTAAGGAATTAATTAAGAAAAATATCTGTGTGTCTTTGAGTCACTCTTAAAGTTTCTTTTTTTCAACTGTGGTAGTTTAGAGAATTAATATTTATTATGTATTAATTGATTAACACATTAAGACACATCTCTATTTTATTACTATTACTACTGAATAATTTTACACTTTACTGTATGCTAATTAATGCTAATGGTCATTTTGTACCCTGTAATGATGACCCTTACCATACCTATTCTCTATTTATCCTCGTGTAATGTTCCAATAATAGCTTGTGATCTTGCTTTCCTCCTCATATAGAGTAGATGCACAGGTAGTGTTGTTTTCCCTGTATGTGCACATGCTTGTCTGCTCTTTTTTAACCTCGTTTTCCCTCAGACCTCCTCACTAATTGTGTTATCCCTTCTGTTTTCTTCTGCTCTCTTCTCCTTTCTACTCAACAGTGTTTCCTTCCACAGAGCCCTCTCATGTTTAAAGATCAGATGCAGCAGGATGTCATCATGGTGCTGAAGTTTCCATCAAATTCCCCTGTCACACACGTGGCAGCCAACACGCTGCCCCACCTGACCATCCCTGCCGTGGTGACGGTCACTTGCAGCAGGCTGTTTGCAGTCAATCGGTGGCACAACACAGTAGGTACGTCCTCGCAGGCACGCTTCACTCAAATTTGAAGACCTTAACAACGCAGCTTTAATTTTGACTGCAATTTAGCTCGCTCACCTGCCTGTGCACCAAAATTTACTGTTTCTTCTGGTTTGTGTCAAATAATCACAGCTTCTGTTTTCTCTGGTGTCATTCCTAGAAACACTCTCCTTAACAGCCGCACATCACCATGGCAGCCAATCGATTCGTGGTTACTTCAGGATCAGCCTTCGATACAGTGCTTTTCAGGAGACTGCTCTTGCTCTCGACACAGCAAATATTAATATGTCTGAGGTTTCAGGAATGCATACTGACATGCTAGAGAGTGTATATCCCTATCTGCTGCTTGAGAGAGATTTCAGGATCTTGTTATAAACTTTCCCCTGGGTCACTGTTGGATTATCTGGGACCCTAAGCAAGCCTAAGCAATCAGACGTTTAACTATTCTGAGAAGTTTCCTCATTCCCTCACAAAAGTCCATCCAACAGGGCCATCCCAAAATTCCCTTCCAGCCCCTCTGCTCACCTCTCCATATTGCCATTAGGACTGTCCATGTCACCTGGATGTGCAGGTGCTAAGGAAGTTCCAGACATTGCTAAATAGGTGGTGGGGCCATGAGGTACATGAGGAAACAAACAGTTTTCATTTTCTCAGGTAGTTTGCTGCAGCAATAGCCCTTATGCTGCAATATCTGGAAACATTTATAATACTCCATTAGGTGCAACTACATTATGTGTAAAAAATGTTTTTTTCCCATTTCTTTAAAACAAAAGGTAAAATCTAGAGGGGAAAAAAAACCCCAGCATTATTTGTAAAGTATTTTACAAATGGAATGGAAGATTCCCATGTCAGGAATGATTCAGAGGTGCAGAAGCTGTCCTGTATTGGTTTAATACACCTTTAACTAAAATGGATTGGCTAATTCCTAATTATTTTCCTTTGATTTTTAAGGGATTCTTTTCAAATACTCTATACCCATCATCTTTCATGTCTCCTCTATCTGAGGAAGCTTATTTGGTTCTGGAGAAGCCCTTTCTCATCCAGATTTTTGAGTCAAGAGAACCCAAAATTCCTACCTGTACTTTACTGTGAAGGAATTAATCTCATTAATATTGCAGTATGCTGGAGTTCAAGGGTTTTCTTAAAACCTGACATTTGCAGTCCTTTAGTTTAGCTGGAGCTTTGTTGGTCCTCATGATGCATATGACAGTAAGGTTTTAAGTTTTCCTCTATACTCTTGTAAAACATAAGTCATGTTGCAAAAATTCAGAACTCAAGGCATGAACCAACCATAAATTAAATTTCACACCATTTGTAAACCTCTGGTCTAAATTAAAAAAAAAAAAACAAAAAACAAACAAAAAAAAAAACAGATTACTTTCTAAATATATTATAATAGAAAGGGAGGAAAATGAAACTGTTTAGAGAATCAAACCTCATTGTAATGATTTTCTTAACTTTTGCATCTTGCTTGGCAATGTTGCTTATTTTGCAGGAGGGTAATCCAGGACAGGGTATCAGTTTCCTACTATTGCCAAAATATTATTTTAATAAAGCATAACTCTAGTATAAAGGATAGCTTTATCTACAGAAATGTATACATAGACCACTTGTAGACTGTATGTAGAGCTTTGGAATTTAATAAACAGCAGGAGGCATTTACAAAGACATCTCATAATAGAAGTGGATGAATCTAAGTTAATACCAGTAAAGACCTGTCCCTAACTGCTTGGGTTTTGAAAGAAGAGACAGAAAGAAGAGAAGAAGTTCTCAAAGCTGTGTATTTCTGAAAATAGTAGAGCTAGCTTTTCTTTTACCTCTTCCAGTAGTCTATTGCAGTAGTAGAAAATGGAATTTATTCTTCAGAAATCTGTATGTCCTATTATGGAGGGTATTCTTGTGCAATGTAGCAGTTCATGAAAAAAATTGTGTTTTAAGTAGTGACTATTTGATTTATATACCAGGGAAGCTGCTCAGAAGAGCCAAAGCAATGCTATCTGTGCATGAGAGAAGATAACACTAAATTTGCAGCCCCTGATGCACATTTGAACATCTTAAAGACTGCTTAGAATAGAATGAACAGGAAAAATTGTGGCACATTTACTGTACCCTACAGTTTTAGATCTAAAAATTTTAGATAAATCCATGAAAAGGTCCAAGTTTCTGTCACATACAGGTTTCCATATGTAAGAAACTCATAAAAATGTTTAATCTAATTAACTTTATTTTCTGTGCTAAGATCTCTGTTCAAAAGCAAAAAAACCTCTTATACTATTTTAAATTAGTTATTTAATGAATGTGTGTGGCTGCAAAAGTTGTGATGAAGCTGATGCTTCTACATTTATAGTTACTTTTACATAAATGAAACATTAGCAAATGCATATTTGTGAAGCACAGAGAAAGAAATCTTAAAATATTAATAAAGCAATTAGTAAAAAGCTACTTTCTAAAAATACATAATTATCTAATAATGAACTTTTAAACCTAGAAAAGTCATGTCAAAAGGTTTCTGTGTGCTTTGTTCTTTCATGTGTAGGCCTTCGGGGAGCCCCAGGATATTCTTTGGATCAAGCCCATCATCTTCCAATTGAAATGGATCCATTGATTGGTATGTCAAGATGAAAATGTAGCAATATATTTGAAATTGGCATTTTCAGGAATTATTGATTAAGCTATATTTGTATATTATGCTTCATTTAACACAGAAAATAGGAAAATATTTATTCTTGTCAGTCCTGGAGAACTAAAAAGCATTAGCTATTGATGCTGAATGAATTACATGAATGCTATTTGTTATTAACATCACCAGCAACTGGTATTTAAGAAACAACCAATTAAGTCAGTTAATTGTCAGCCTATATCTATAATTCTGTTCTCTTATCAGGTCACATTAGTAAAATAAAACCTGAGGGTCCTGTGGAGATAGCATATATTTTTTTTACAGCCAGCACTATATTTATCAGTGGAGATGCAGATCCATTTATTTTCATTCACTTTATAATTTGGATTTAGTCAACAATACTAATTTAATAATGAAAAGACTGGCTTTTAAATTTATAATATTTTTTAAATCCAGAATTTTTTGAGAAACTGAATAATTTGAGAAGTAGCATCTGCTAAAATTGTTAGATTTCAGGACTTCCTAATGATCATATTTTTTCATTAATTGCACTTATTGGATTTGTAGTGGGGAGGTAGTTCAGTAATTTGAAATAGAAATTTGGGATAGGGAAAGTTCTTAGGGACAAGTTTGTAACATTGTTGAGAACAAAATATATTGTTAAACATAGCCAGATATAAAGTTCCATTTTTTATGTGTCAATATTCATATTCAAAATTTTCAATATTTACTTCTATGTAAATTTATGATTTCCATAGAGGTACCTCAGAAGAATTAGCTTTCTCATTCTGTGTGCTGCATCTGATCTTATATAATGACAGTGGTTTTCTCTTTAGTTTTTTCTCTCACAAGCTAAGTCACAACTATTGTGCCCATCTGTTGTGGAAATTTGAGTAATTTGCTCTTCATTATCTTTCAGCTGATGGATGTAGAGAGTCTGGTAGTTTAAATATGTGTTCTTAGTATGTATGCAAATATGATATTAACTTCCACAAGCAATTTTAAAATAGAATGGAATGGGGTTTTTTTTTTGCTGAACCTCTTATTTCATGCAGTTGTGAGCAGTTTAAGTAGAATAGCAAAAACAGGGGAAAATGAGATTATTATCTGCCTTCGGTTGTGTTCTTATGTTAGGAGAAACATATTTCTCAGAGTGATTTTTACCTCTAACTTTGGGTAACTGAAGTTAGTTGTCAAGATTCCCTCCATAACTACTGTAGAAAGACAAACTCTCCTCTGGAGCTGTCTAGCACTTAGTTATTACAGTATGAGATGACTTGTCATGTGAAAAAAATGTCTTATCCAGTGAGACTGGATGGAGTGGATAAAATTAATTTATATTATATACTCAACTTTCAGAAAGTTAATACTGAGGTGGGAAACACTTTTACGGGGTTGCCATTTCTTGTCTGTTGTGTCACAGGGGGACAGAGCACATTAGCTGTGGGCTTCCAGTGATTAGTATCCTTCTAAACATCTCTGTTTGGCTGTTGGCTTGGTGGGATTCTGCATGAACCACTTCTTTTCCCTTGATTCTGGGAAGTTTCTAGGTGCCATTGCCTCTTTAAAAAGTACTGTCCGTGGCCTGGGTCCCTGCTAGAGGAGCAGATGATAACACTTACTTTTCCTGTACTGGAAAATCGTATAAGGCTTGAATAGATTTATGGAATTATAAAATATGGTGAGTTGGAAGGGACCCATCAGAAGCATCAAGTCCAACTCCTGTTTCTGTGTGGGACCTCCCCCAAGAGTCACATAATGGGCCTGAGAGCATTGTCCAAACTCTTCTTGAGCTCCCTCAGGCTGGTTCTGTGACCACTTCCCTGAGGAGCCAGTTCCAGTGCCCAACCATCCTCTGGGTAAAAAACCAGTCCAACCCAAATGTCTCCTAACTCAGCTTCATGCTTTTCCCTTGAGTCCTGTCCCTAGGCATAAGAGTAAAAAGATCAGTACCTGCTCCTCCCCTTCTTGTGAAGATGCTGAAGATCACAATGAGGTCTCCCCTCATTCATTGATTGAATCCTTATGCTTTTAATCTGGTTAAGCATCTGGAGGTGTAGGGTTGTCAAGGCCACAAAATACAAGCCGTTTTCTGTGGAAGAGATACTAACCAGCAAGAACTGGCTCTCTGCAGTATTGTTAGTATTGATTTCATATTTTATATGGAATTCTGCTACTTTCCCCTGGTTCAGATTGTTTTGGGGACTACTGCAGAGCACTAAAATTATTACCACATATTATGCAGTGCATCAGGCAGCTTATAAGAAATTGCCATATCTTTTAAAATCTTATCTCTTATTCAAAGGGGAACTAGAAATCTCACAATAATTTTGTGTTTCTGACACCCATATAGACAGGTCTAAATGTTCGTATTCAAAATGCTTACTCAACAACAAATTCACAGTTCATTGAAAGTTAAATGTATTCATTTTCTCCTGTAAATGGATGACAGGAAGGTGTTGGAATGGCTTACATGTAAAATGTGTTTTGCATTTCGTTACAGCCAATAACTCTGGTGTGAACAAACGTCAGATCACAGACCTTGTGGATCAGAGCATCCAGATCAACGCGCATTGCTTCGTGGTCACGGCAGATAATCGCTACATTCTCATCTGTGGTTTCTGGGACAAGAGCTTTCGAGTTTATTCCACAGAAACAGGTGACCTCAAATACAGCTCCCTGGTTCTTCCTGTGTCACAAAGCAGACAAAGGCTATTGTCTTAATAGTACCATATCTAATACTTATGCTTACAGGTCAATAAGTGGTAAACAGCAGTTTATAAAATCCTTCATTATTGTTTCAGCATGATAACTTTAAAATTTTTTTAAGGGAAAATAGAGTATGTAAAAGGAAATGGAACACAGTCTTATTAATAGTAACTTTTGAAAACCATAGTTATCTTCAGGAAATTTATCATGTCAAAAGAATCAAGCACATTTTTGTTACAATATTTTTATGGATCTATTTTTTCTAGCTCTATTTATTTCATGTAGTAAGGAATTAGGTTGAATATCCTGATACAGGAACAAATATTTTTTTGCTTTGTGTCATTACTTAGCCTAATATCACCCAATATATTGCTAAAAACTAAGTGTAATAATAGAAAGGAGGAGGTGATAATCACAGTAAATCTTAGTTTGACATTAACATAGAACAAACACACATTTTTAACATAATAATGCAGCACAATTATAGAAGAGTTCATGTGCAGTCTTATGCACATCACTCATGAAATTTATAATACTGTTCTAGTGCTATTGCTTAAATACTGATGGAGCTATAACTCCACTTAATATTCAGTGACTGCAGCACTGCCTTGATTTTCAGAGATAAGGGTTAGACTATAGATTGCCACAAAGCACAGCCTTCAACAGGAATGAAAAAAAAGGTGGAAAAAAAAGTTTAATCTTTGTGATCTTTTAATCTTTTTGTAGCATTTAGTGAACTCTAATTATGGGACATGAAATAAAAGTTACATTTGAACTGAATATTAATTATATAGTTAATGATTTCCAAACACTGCTAGTACCTTAGAAAACTGAATTTGTATGACTTTTCATTCCCACCAGGAAAATTAACTCAGATTGTGTTTGGCCACTGGGATGTCGTGACTTGCCTTGCCAGGTCGGAGTCCTACATTGGGGGTGATTGCTACATCGTGTCTGGGTCTCGCGATGCTACATTGCTGCTTTGGTACTGGAGTGGCCGGCACCATATCATAGGTGACAATCCAAACAGCAGTAAGTATCCTTCAATAACACCTCTCCCAGAGGTCTTCTGTCACACCTTGTTTTAGCATTTCTTCTTTCAGCTTCAGAACTTATTGCCAAATATATTGATAACTTTGCTTACAGGTTGAAGGTTGGTATAAGAGCACCACATGCTAAGCAATGCGCTGATTGCAAGCCAAAAAAAATGTTTAAACACTCTCTGCATGTTAAGAGAGAATAGGATGGGAGTATAGTTCCTAAGTTTGTAATTGCCTTTATCACTTATAGCATCATGTCATCATAAACTAGAACAAGATGGTTATGGCCTTTAAGTGACAGTACATATATCACTATATTTTGACTTCCCTTTCCCTGGAAATATTTTTTGGCATTTTAACTTACTCCTTTTGTGCTACAGCATGCTATATCAGCTGCTTGCCTTTTCAAAAAAGGAATGTCTCACATGCCATGGAATTAAATGAGACTCTTGAGAAAGGTCTTTCTATAGTTTGGGGAAGCAATCTGACTGAATAAAAATAGAAAAAGATAAAATGTCAGGAAAAGTTTACATTTCATTTGCATTGGACCAACTATCAGTGCTTTGCAGAGTGAGTGGGACACAATAGTAATATTAATTTATACAAAAGGACACTAAAAGTGCACCACTAATTTAAGGATCCCATCACCCAAGCCAGAGATATGGCTGCAGCTAAAGAGCAGCTTTCATCCATATACTAGAAGTGTTTTCTACAACACTAAATCCATTTCATTAAAGAAGCTTCTGATTTCTAATGATAATTTTCAATAGAAGGGTTTTGTCTTTGGATAAAAATGGAAGAATCTGTCACTATCAGTTTTGATCTCAGATTCAAATACTGACTGGAGGCAGTACTGTCAGCTACAGACATCTAAGTGAAAGTATTTCTTCAACTGAATGGCTGGTAGAAGCATGTTTTATGTATTTAAAAGTAAATATTTTCTTAATTTTGCAGCAAGATACTTTTTATTGAATTTTGATTTTTTTTTCCATTTGTCTGTAAGCAGACTAAAAGGGAGAAAGATAAAAGTATTGGTTTCTCACAAGATTTTATTTGCTTTTCTAACAGAGGAAATAGAGAGGAAAGAAGAAAATTGTGTTGCAATAACAAATTTCTATAATTTTTTCCTGTATTCCATTACTTTTTTAGTCTGTAATTCTCTAATATGGATAAATTCAGTCAGACAAGGATTTTCATGTCTTAGCAGTCTGTTTAGGTTGATGCCATTTTTCTTCTTTGAATGCCTGTGTGATTCATATAAAGTATTAGTCATTCATATAAAGTATTTCTATGTTAAGAGAAAAATAACAAGAGCTTTCTACTCTCATTAAAGAGAAAAATGTAAGACTTTCCCCTTACCTCTCTTGATTGTAAAGGGCTTGGACAACCTCGCAATTAGCATCTCCTTTCTGGATGATACAAACTTCTTCAATTCTTTTCCAGATAGAATTATTTTTGTTCTGGTATTATTCTGTCATCTCTTACATAGCTGAATGCACAAAAGTGGTACTTTTTGGTATCTCAGATTTAATATTTTAGCTGTATAACTTTGGAATTGTCTGCCTTGGAGGTCTTTAATTTTATGAAAGGAAGGATATGACCTGTCTGACAGAAATAAATTTGTAATTATTTGTATGACTTGCTCTCAGTCTCTACCTTTATGTGGATAAGGTGCTATTTTGCTGAAGAAATGGCCTTATGGTCACATTAATAGGAGACTGTGCTGCAGATAGCCACGTCCAGTCAAATGAAATCTTACAGGCACAGGTAACAGATCTCAGGAAGACTAAGTACCCAGGAGCCCTGTGGTAGATTTGAAATATATTGATAAAATTTTTTAATAGTCATGTTGAAGACATGTTGAAGACTCATGCTGAGGAAGAGCGATGGCATTTCTATTATTTCTATCTCTATTCATTGGATTGAAGCAACCATGGATATGCCAATTATATTCTAGTACTGTACTATAACCAGAATAACATGTGTTGGAAGCATATTATTCTTTATCTTTATCTTTTCATGAACATACATTAATGGGGATGGATCACAAAAGCAAAGGGCCTTAAAAAACTTCTACAATTACTAAGTGTTTCTGCTGAAGTAATGACTAATAGTTTCTGCTTGCTACTTCGAGCAGACATGATAGCTGTCATATGACTGATTACCTTTAAACTAATTTCCAAGAGAAGCATTCTTAATATTCCTTATGAAAATACATTTGAAGTTTTACCTAGTTAAAGCCACCAAAGTAATAAAGAAATATTTCCTAATCTACTCTAATCTATAGTTGCTGTTAGAAGGTTTCCTTGTAGGAAAAATGAATTATATGATCAATGTAGATCAAATGCAATTACTTAACATCTTTAGAATTAATTTCCAAAGAGATGTAGATAATATTTTCAGAGGAAAAATAAAGGGGTATTGGTTTTTTTAAAAGCTGTCATCTGGAGATACAGACAAGGTGTTTTATACCAGAGGATATACGAAGGTGAAGAACTCAAAGAAAAATGTCAGGTATAGTAATTACCTGGGTTAGATGTTTGACTTTATAATTATCCTTTAAGCTGAAAGACAGATAATTATAAATTTTAACTTCAATACATCCAATTACCAAAAGGAACTTTAGTTGTTTCAGAAAATCTTAAAGGGGAGAAAAAGCAGACCTCCAGCCCTAAATAGTTTGTGTGGTTTGACATTAGTATTGAAAAATGTAGATACCATTTCATTCAAAAACATAGAAATCACATAGAAATACTCTCAGGCAAAATAAAAACATATAAATACTCTCAGGCAAAAGATAGTAAGATCAAATTTCTTACAGATTCTGCTAAAATTCATATTGCAGTATCTATGAGGTAGATGCAGTCTTTACCAAACAGCAAGTATGTCAACAACCTAACCTGTCAGACTTCTGTAGAACCTTCTGCTGAAATACCTGTACAGATGTATGCTCAGTGGGTCACCTCAACTGGGTCTGTAGGAAATACAGAACCAGCTCTTGTTTAAAGAGGAGAATTGAGAAAAGATGCAAGTGATTGATCTAGCTCAGTTGAAAGCTTGTCTATGAGACCATGGTAAACTTCATTTTATGATTTTAAAATAATTTTTCTAATCTTACATTTATCAAGTTATCATCATTTTTCTACAGTAAGTGTCAAAAATTAGTTTCTGGTTTGGTTTGCACTTGGCACAATTTCTTGACACATCTCACAATCACTCTGAGAAGAGTGATGTTGTACCAGGTTTTAAATGCAATGTTTTCCATACAGTAGCTTTCTGAAAAAGCTTGAAAGACATCTTCAGGCAAGAGTGCTTGTCCAGGAAGTAGGAGAATTATGCTCTTGACCTCTAGAGACTGGGGTCACTAAAGCCCTTATTCCCATGTTCACAAGCATGTGCTGACTATCAGCTATAAGTTATCATAGAATGGGCCCCTGAGAACCTCTGGATTTCATAGAAAGCAAAATTCTTTTCTATGCTCATATTTATGCATATTACATGTCATGATGATTGGATATAGAGATAAATCACAGAATCAGGAGCACTATGCTGCATACCTTCAACAGCAGCACATAGGGCAAATCTTTTCTCAGTTTTCTCTAGCTCAACATTGGTCTTATGGCCATACCATTATTAAGCTCCAACAGTGGTGATGTTGGAGGTCCTGTTAAGACTAGACTAGAGATTGGTGTTTGGGAATGCTTCTGGAAAGTAAGAGATGTGGCATGGTTTCCTATAGGCTGGAGGGAAGCTGAATGAAGGGTTTTTGTACATTTGAACTTCCCTTTGTGTCTTTATCCTTGCTTACTTAGGTACCACCTATCAGAAAAACAGTGAACCGAATGAAGTCCTCTTGCCAGGGTCAGATATCTACTTTCTAAGCCAAAATTGCCCATCTGAAATATCTAATCTGAATCTGCACCTTATTAAGTTGATGAGCAGATTGTATAAATCTGCTGCAGTTGCGAGAACAGTGAAAGGTATCTGAACAGTGAAAGGTGCCGTAAGACACGGCACATGCAAAGGACATTGTTTGCTTATTTTATTTATTTGAAATGATATGGGAAATGTAAATCTTTGCAGTTCTCAGAGACTGAATGCAAAAATTATTGTGATGGAGTTTGACAATTTTTGTTTTGATTTTTCTTTTCTTATGATATATAGGGATTTGTTTTAACCGAGTGCTAATTTGTATACAAATTTCTTCTCACATAGAAACTGTATTAGTCATCACAAAAAGGAGCAAAGAAAGTATATGATATGCCTTGGAGTTCAACATGTATCATTATAGCTGGTTTATTTTTATATTTTATGCTTACTTTATTGAATGTCTCTTTCAAACAATTGACTTTGAAAATGAGAACTATCTCAGAGTTTTTGAACAGATATACCAAAGTAGATGATAGAATTGCAGAAAAGTGAGGGACAGATGCTTTCATCTGAAACAGACACAAATTCAGAAAGTAATTTGGAAGTGATAAAAATTAATTTGCACACTTTAATTGGAATTGGACTCCTGCATGATAGAAAGGAAGGGTAGGCAGCTTGTGCTAAAGGCTGATTGAATTTTTTGTCAGGTAAGTATGTTGGACCTGGCCGTTTATCCTCTTGAGCCTCTCCCTGCAATATATTACATTCACCCTCTGACTGGTGTTCTTTAAAAGGATCAATGCTATTCCTGTTTTTTCCCTAGAGCCTGAAATTTCATTGATCTTGGGACTTGACATTTCTCATTACCTATTGTAGCTTCCAAGAGGATGGTCACAAGAGGTGTGGGAGTTAACCCTACTTTTTCTAACAGCAGCTGTGCTGACCATTGAAAAATGCTCTAGCAGCCATAAGATGGGTTTATTTAGCATTATAGCAAAATCTTCACAGGTGCTAAGAATTCATTCTGTCCCAGTGAGTGTATTCAGTCAGTATATATCTGAAAGGGAGGGTAAACTTTATCATAAAATATCTTTGTCAAGTCAATATGCTTTTTTTTGTGTCTTTCATGAAGTATATCTTTGTATGTTCCTTTTACATAATGTAATTTTGAAACAATTTGGAGTTGAAAACACTAAGGGTTCTGCAGGTTTGAGTCTTGAAAGAATAGTTATTCTGAACTCAGAACTTCCACTTGTCATTTTATATCCTTCTACATTTTAATATGCCCTAGCTTAGCCTTTAAATAGGAGCAGTTTAAAAATAGTCACCAGTGTGCTCTGCACCAGGAAGACTGGGTGGCTGTCTGAAGGCCCTGCACTAGCATATGGGCATATGTGCTATCTGCTTTGTTTGTTTAAGGGGTTATTATGGTACTTGTAAGTATGTACAATTTAGGTATTAATTTTTGAAATAAAAGTATGTTAGTACTGCTCTGCCAGAGCAGAAGACTTTTGAAAACTAGGTTTGTAATTTTTACTGGTACCATCTCTGCCCTGGTTGCCAAAGAC